ATCCATCCATCCATCCATCCATCCATCCATCTTCTCCCGCTTATCCGGAGTCGGGTCGTGGAGGCAGCAGCCTTAGCAAAGCCGCCCAAACTTCCCGATCCGCACACACCTCCTCCAGCTGTTCTGGGGGGACCCCGAGGCGTTCCCAGGCCAGTCGAGAGACATAATCCCTCCAGCGTGTCCTGGGTCTTCCCCGAGGCCTCCTCCTGGTGGGATGCGCCCAGAACACCTCCCCAGGGAGGCATCTGGAAAAGATGCCCGAGCCGCCTCAGCTGGCTCCTTTCGTTCTCGAAGTGGGACAATCTTTGAATGAATGTTATCTCACAAAGTATTTGATATATCACACCAACATTTTTCCACTAGCTTTATATATATTCCTAATTTATGCAATGAAAATTTCAAGCGGGTCAGACATTTCTGAGCAGATATCGTTCTGCAAATTTGTAGTTTTGCGATGGAACGACCCACCAGCAGCATCACAAACCTCTCTGAACAGAAGACACTTGTGTATTTTCTACTGTGCTGTCGTTTTCCTGCAAACAAGCTCACAGCCTGATTTTACAGCGACGTCTGTGTTGCCTGACAGGACGCCTGTGAGAAGCTGATGAGGCGTCTGCAGCCGCTGATGGAGAAGAACCCAAAAAACAGCTGGAAGCAGACGGTAACCAGAAAACGTGACTAATAATGAAGATGTTCTAAAATGTTCTGCTGTCAGCCAGGTTTGTCAAACTAAGCCACATTGAAGTTGACTTTTCTTTTCTTTCTTTCGCAGATTACTGAAGCTTACTTTCAGAAAATCAGTTTATCTGCAACTGGGTTCTTCATGCACGTGAGCATTTATCTGCATCACGTTAAAGCACTTCTTCCTCTGCATCTCCTGTGGATCATCTGGTTGCTTCTGTAATAATCTTGAACTATGTGTTGCAGGGGGCCACCCACCGACGTGGACTGGGAGAAGGGCCAGGGCCAGGCTTATTACTACTTCACCTTCGGCGCCTGCTGCTCTGAAGTGGAGATCGACTGCCTCACTGGGGACCACAAAGTATTTTCACCATTTAAAATATTGAAGCAGATGAAACAGCACCTCTGTTGTTTGAGTCTCATCCTTCAGTCCGGCTTCTGTGCGTCACT